AAGACAGCATAAAGAGATCAAGGAGATTCTAATTGGAAAGGAAGAAGGCAAACTTTCATTATTTGCAGATGATGTGATAGTGTATATCAGCAACCCCAAAAACTCTACCAGAGAACTTCTACAGCTGATCAACACCTTTAGTATTGTGGCAGAATACAAGATCAACTCCAAAAAATCAGTTGTCCTCCTTTACACAAAGAACAAAGAAGCAAAACGAGAAATCACAGAAGCATCACCTTTCACGATAGCCACAAATAGCATAAAGTATCTTGGGGTAACTCTAACCAAGGAAGTGAAGGATCTATTTGACAAGAACTTTAAGGTTTTGAAAAAAGAAATTGAGGAGGATACCAGAAAATGGAAGGATCTCCCATGCTCTTGGATTGGGAGGATCAACATAGTAAAAATGGCAATTCTACCAAAATCAATCTATAGATTCAATGCAATCCCCATCAAAATCCCATCAAACTTCTTCACAGACCTTGAGAGAACAATAATCAAGTTTATATGGCAAAACAAAAAACCCAGGATAGCCAAAGAATCCTATGCAATAAAAGAGCATCCAGAGGCATTATCATCCCTGAATTCAAACTCTATTACAGAGCCAAAGTAATGAAAAATGTTTGGTATTGGCACAAAAACAGAGATGTTGACCAATGAAATCGAAACAAAGACAGCTTGGTATTGGCATAAGAACTGAGAAGTAGACCTATGGAATCGAATAGAAGACCCGGATATTAACCAACAAACCTATGAACACCTAATTTTCGACAAGGGAGCTAAAGGTATACAATGGAAGAAGGAAAGCATCTTTAACAAATGGTGCTGGCATCATTGGATGTCAACCTGTAGAAAAATGAAAGTAGATCCATATCTATCACCATGCACAAAACTCAATTCCAAATGGATTAAAGACCTCAACATTAATCTGTCCACTTTGAACCTGATAGAAGAGAAAGTGGGAAGTAGTCTACAACATATTGGCACAGGAGACCACTTCCTAAGTAGAACCCCAGTAGAACAGACAATAAGAGAATCAGTGAATAAATGGAACCTACTGAAACTGAGAAGCTTCTGTAAAGCAAAGGACACTGTCAGTAAGACAAAAGGCTACCTTCTGACTGGGAGAAGATCTTCACCAACCCCTCATCAGACACAGGTCTGATCTCCAAAATATACAAAGAACTCAAGAAACTAGACGCTAAAACTCTAATTAACCCAATTAAAAAATGGGGTACTGAACTGAACAGAGAATTCACAACAGATGAACTTCGAATGGCCAGAAGACACTTAAGGTCATGCTCAACCTCCTTAGCGATCAGGGAAATGCAAATCAAAACCACTTTGAGATACCATCTTAAACCTGTCAGAATAGTCAAACTCAAAAACACCAATGATAGCCTATGCTGGAGAGGATGTGGAGTGAGGGGAACACTCATCCATTGTTGGTGGGAATGCAAACTTGTGCAGCCACTGTGGAAATCAGTGTGGCGGTTTCTCAGGAAACTGGGAGTCAACCTCCCTCAGGACCCAGCAATTCCACTCTTGGGAATATACCCAAGAGATGCTCTATCATACTACAAAAGTATTTGTTCAACTATGTTCATAGCTGCATTATTTGTAATATCCAGAACCTGGAAACAACCTAGGTGCCCCTCAATAGAAGAATGGTTAAAAAAAGGTGTGGAACATATACACATTAGAGTTTTACTCAGCGGTAAAAAACGATGACATCTTGAATTTTGCATGTAAATGGATGGAAATAGAAAACGCTTTACTGAGTGAGGTAACCCAGACCCAAAAAGAGGAATATGGTATGTATTCACTCATAAGTGGTTTCTAACCATAGTTAAAGGTCTTTGAGTCTATAATTTGTGATCCTAGAGAAGCTGAATAAGAAGGTGAACCTGAAGAAAATCATAGAGTTATCCTCCTGGATATTAGAAGTAGGCAAGGTTGCCAGGCAAACTTGGGTGCACAGGGGGGTGGGGGAGTGGAAGTATGGGGAGATGGTTAGGGAGAGGGGAGAGGGGAAGGATCTGGGATGGATTGGGGGAATAGGGGGAGGGAGGAAGAATGGTTATGGGAGCAGAGAAGTTTATATCTCAACTAAGGGAGCCATTTTAGGGTATGCAAGAGACTTGATTCTGGAGGGGTTCCCAGGCCCAAGGAGAGGTCCCCAGATTGTACTCTGGGCAGCAGAGGAGAGGGTGCCTGATCTGGCCTTGGCCCATAACCATACTGATGAATATTTTGCATATCACCACAGAACCTTCATATGGCGATGGATGGAGATAGAGACAGAGACACATATTGGAACACTGGACTTAACTCCCTAGGCCCAAATGAGAAGCAAAGGGAGGGAGATCATGAGCAAGGAAAGCAAAATCAGAGGGGGCCTTCATTTGACGATGGATGGAGGTAGAGATGGAGACCCACATTGGAGCACTGCAAGTCAGGACTGCGAAGGGTGCGTTCACTCACTGATACAAGGGGTCTGATCGAATGAGAGCTCACCAAGGCCAGCTGGACTGGGTCTGAACGAGCATGAGATCAAACTGGACTCTCTGAATGTGCTTGACATGGGGGCTGACTGAGCCCCCAAGGTCCAAATGAAGACTGAGAAGCCATTGACAATGGCACTGGGTTTCATCTGCATGGACTGGCTTTTTGGGATCCTGGCCTGTCTGGATGCTCACCTTCCTGGACCTTGAGGGAGGGGGGAGGAACTTGGATTTCCCACAGGGCACGAAACACTGACTGCTCTGGGGAATGATGAGGGAGGAGGAGAGGGAGTGGGGGGAGTAGGCGGAGCGGGAGGGTATTGGGAGGAGGGGAGGAAGTGGAAAGAGTGTTTTCGGATACTTGAATAAACTAGTCTAACGGAAAAAAAACAAAAAAAAACTTGTTGTCCATTTTTCACATTACTAAAGTTTCCATGACTACTCAATAGTGATATTGCAGAATGCAATGACTGCAGAACGGCTTATGTGAAACAAACAAATACCTTGAGACCCAGAATCTATACGAATGAAAGCATGAGGGAACATAAAACTGATTCCATTCATAACTCATAAGACTAACTCAATAAAGAAGCTTCACCAAGTGAGCAATTTTCAACGATGTAAATATGCACACTAATGATAGAAGATAGGCCAGTGCAGTAGGGGGACATGTGAGAAACCACTGTCAACTCAGTGGTAACACTGACAAGTATCCTCCTAGGTGTCCCAAACATAACAATTAACAGCACAAATAATTAAAATGTGGCCAATGAATTGGCTGTAAATATATCTGCATATGACATTAACTTATTCTGGTAGATCCTAAAGATTCTATAAAAGTTTCTGGAACTGGTGAACAAACACACTTATCTGAGCTCTACTTCTTTAAACTAATATTGTACAGAAACAATGAGATGTCCCATTTTGTCACATGCATAGAGAAGCTAAATGACAAAGAAGACTCAAGTAGACACATGGGAATAAGAGAAGAGATTTTGTGGATGTACTGGGGACAAATAGGGATAGGAACAGGAGGAAACAGGCGGGGGAAATTGGATGGAAGGAGAGAGTACTTAGAGAAATAATTGGAATGTTAGGGAAATTTTGGGAGCAATGTGGAAATCTACTACAGTAGAAACTCCCTAGAATCTACAAGAGTGACCATAGTAAAGAATTCTTGTAGTGTGGGATAGATAATCTGAATCATAAAACTTCTATAACCACTGAAGACTTCTAGAAATGGGGCTGGAACACAAATCTAGTCACAAAAAAATTGACCTATAATCTAGCTTTTCTGTAACATGTACTGGGGTTATGGTGGAACAGAATGTGTGGGAGTGGACAATCAATGACTACCCCAAATTTAAGCCCATGCCATGAGAGGCAGATCAGACCTGACACTGCTTGGATGGCTAGGAATGAAAGGCTGAACAGCCCAAAAAATCACAATAAAACCAAACATGACTAGAAAAACATTTCAATGAATTAATTACTAAAGATAATTTGTTATACTCATAGATAAGTACCTTGACTAATAGTTATCAGAGAAGCATCATCCAACAAGTGTTGGGAGAAAATCCAGAGACACTCAGCAGAACACTTGCCAGCAGCAGGGGAACTCCCCAGGATAGGGAAGGATGGATTATAGGTACCAGAAGGGGAAAGAAATCCATGAAAATATGGACATCTCTGACTCTTTTTCCTGCTGCCCTTCAGACACTTTTCTTCCTACCAGGTTGCCTTTCTCATCTCTCATATGGTAAGCATAATAAAGTTTGCCATGCCATGTTCTATAGATACCGCTGGGAGGGTGCTCATTTTTTAAGGGAACGAGAAGAGGAGTGGGTCTGGGGTCGAGGGGAACTGGGAGCTTAGGAAGGAGTGGAGGGAGAGGAAACTGGTTGAGATGTAATATGTGAGAGAAAAATAAAAACAGATAGAAATACATACTACAGGATGAAAACAGTATGATCTCCTTTATGTGAAGGACTTTTCATCAAAAAATGTGGATCAAAACTATTTAGAAACCAGTTATATCCACAGTGAAACATGGGCAGTCCTTCTCCTATCAATCTTCCTCATTTCACGTGGATGATTGATGTTCAGGCAACATTGGGCCTAGTTGAATTAGGTAAACAGGGAATGTATTTGAGCATATGAGAGGACATTTTTCTCTATGCAAGCAATTCACATTTTCACAGCAGATTCAGAACATCCAAATTTCAAGGGTTTCTGAAAATAGGTGACATAAATTCTGATGGATCGCTATATATTTGAACCACAACATTAAGGGCTGTGCATTTTTGGTTAACATATTGATATATTTATTTTCCTTTTAAGACATCCTCACTTTAAATTCTGCCCTTCCCTTGTACATTCGTGTATCCCATGATTACAGGTGTGAGTCACCATGCTAGTTGTACTTGAGTACAACTAATCATTTTCACCACATAACTTTTCTCTATTTTGTACACCATTGATAAAGAAATGCCCCAACTCTGCAGTAGGTTGAGAGGTGTGGTCACTCATTCCTGACGGCCAGGCTCACTGGGAGACTGATCTTCGAACTGACTCGGTTGGAGACCTCACACTGATACTCTCCAGCATCCTCGCCCTTGACAGGATCTATTTTGAGTCCACACTTTGTTGGGGACAAAGTCATCCTCTCTTTGAGTTGCAAACTCTTCTTATTGAAGATCCAACGGATAGAGATATTAGTGTCAGGTGAAATGCAGGTGAAGATCACAGATCTTTGTCCTGCGACTGTGGTATCAGAGATTTGTACATAGGGCTGTGTCACATATTCTGTGAAGAAACAGAAAAGGGTCCCAAATGACAGTAGTCCAGAGAAACCAACCAGGCATTCCTTAGTTCATACTTTATAAAGCTTCTATGTGGGAGAATTCAGAGCTCTGAGTACAGACATATATTGTGCTTTGAATCTGACACATAGGGACTGTTGTGTGAGCCTAATTCAGGCACTGTTTCCTGTGTTTCCATTTCCCCAGAAAAGGACACACAGTGAGTAGACATTGCAGTGTCCATGAGTTAAGCTTAGCTATAAGCAATGCTCTGGCCTTGGGATGGGGAGCTGCCGACGACAACAGCATCTGTTATTACCTACCTGCAGAAGAGAATTCTCTAAGCTGGACTCCTGCAGGGGAAGGAGGAATCAGAAGTAGCTGCCTCTCTGTTTCTTCCCTTGGTGCCTTTCCCTTCCTGTGACGTCTCATAAGTCCATCAGAACAATAGGATAATGACCCAGACACCTGTCTACTGAGCCTTAGGAGAAGGAGATGCACAGGTGACCTACCTAGCTGCAGTTGTCCTGGCAGTGAACAGATGATTCTTTACTCTAGAAGACAGTCCCATGACTTGAACAGTCAGTAAAGCCTTGTTCATGTCAGTTCTGACAGGAAACCTAAACAGTTACCAAACAACCCCCCAGTGTCACTTTGAGGCCACCAGGGAGAAAGTTTTAGAGCTGGGGCATCCTGGTGCTATCTGTGAGCAACACAAGGTGTCATCAGCCTGGGACTACCTAACTCCCAGAGAGTCTTTCTGGGGACATGTGCATCATGAGTGCTCCAAGTGATGCTGACATTCTGGGGCTGAGTTTACCCAGCATGAGTCTTCCACTCTGCAGGAAATGGGCAGCTGAGGGTTTCAATCTATTGCTGTATATCTATCCCATGTGTGTCTTGCTGTAAGGGCCCAAACCCCAGTTGGGGGACACAATGTAGTGGTAGAGAGAGCAGGAATAGCCCAATCCTGGTATTTCAGTGTATGAAGTAGAATAAGCCACCCCCAGGAAGATCATAGAGAGTACTTACTGTTTACATGAAATTTCACATAGGCTTCTTCTATTTTGAAATCTTTGTTTAAAATTACTAGTGCATACATTCCTGCATCTTCTTCAGTGACATTCATGAGCCTCAGGGATCCATCTTCATACACTATCCCTCTTGGGTTATATTCAGGCTCCCAGGAGAGAGAATACATGATTGTGCTGTATTCTACAATTTTAAGGGCATGGCCTCTATACATTGATTTGTACCAGGCAAAGGCTTGTAGATCTTCTGGAAGATTATGAACATTAAGAAGTACATCATTCCCTTCAACAGCATACTGAGGCAATGGTTGGATCATGACTGGGAAAGGAGTGGGAGGGTTGCAACACAGAGAAGGTGAGGCTGGAAAGGAAAAGACAAAAAGTCATCACATGGGGATCATTGTATTTGGTGAAAATATTCTGACCTCCACATTAAGCAGATAGATTTGTCACTCAGGCTAAAATTGCAACTGTGTGTGTGTGGGGGGGTGTCTATCCCACATAATGAAAGGCAGAAGCATGGCCTCCTCCTTTCCAACAGTGCCTCTGAAAGTGTCATTTCCTCTGCATGGAACTGCCCCCTGGGAGTCTATGACTAATGCCTCACTGCCCTCAGGCAGATACTGCTCAAACTACTGCAAACTGGGGTATGAGATGATGCCTCTCCTGAACACAACAGGCCTATAACTTTCACTTTCTTGATTTTGTCTTTGATTTCCTATAAGGCAATACTCAACCCCTGTCTTCATCTAATAGCTGTATTGATTCTCTGTCATGTAGCCCCTAGGTCTAAGACTATTTGGAGACTGGGTGCAGTCTGATCTTCAAGATAGACTTAGGTCTTTAAAAAGTTTAGATACTAAGCTAGCTGGTTTTATGCCTAGTTGACTCAAGATACAGTCCTTTTGCAGGACAAGGCCTCAGTTGAAAATGTCACCATCAGATAGGCTGTGAGCACAACTATAATTCATTTTTAAATTGGGGATTGATATAAAAGGATTCAGACAAATGCAGGGAGTTCATGCCCTGGGTTAGGAATCCTGGGTTATATAAGAGAGCAGGTTGAGCAAGCATGAAGAGCAAGCCAAGAGGAAACACTCCTCCATGGTCTCCGTACCAGATCCTGGATTTTATTTATGACACTCTCAAATTGGAGCTAATAAATATCCCAGTTTGACATGAATACTGTAAAACCATTATTCCCTATTAGAGTTGATAGGATGTAATAGTAGAGCATTAGAAAAATGATCCCCTTTGTTGTTTTATAGCAACCTTTGAAAGATGAGTGGATGAAGGACTGCCTTGTCTAGAGTCCAAAGAAACTGCTGTCTCTCACATTTTAAGATGAGTTACTTCCCATTGACATCTGCCTTGATGCAGGTAGATTCTGAAGGTGGAAGCTGATCCATGGGCATTTGTCTCTACCAGTGTGTTCTGCACTAAATGCTCAAACAGCCACATGATGACACAGTGCAGAGAGAAAGGAGGCTAGTCCAGTCATGAAAGTCGTCTGCCTAAGCCCCACCCAGCAGTGAACAAGCACAGAGAATCACTTACGGTTCACCTGGAGTTGCACATGTGCTTCTTCACTTCTCATATCCGTTCTCAGAATAGCTAGAGTATAAAACCCAGCGTCTTTTTGAGTTACACCTTGAAGCAACAGGGATCCATCCTTGTACAGTGTCTCTCTGCCACTATGTGCAGGCCCCCATACTGTTGATTTCTTCTCTATTGTGTATCGGGCAACTTCCTGGCTCTTAAACACAACCATTCCTTTGAACCAAGCAAATACTTTAATATTCTCTGGGGGATTGTGAACAATTAGAAGAACACTTTCTCCTTCAACAACAATGGATGGCACCGATTCAATAGTGGGCTGGCCAGAGGTAGCGAGACGTCCACAATTCCAAAGGAAGGCTAGAAAGAAAGAAAGAGATTTACATATATATATATATATATATATATATATATATGAACTTCTGTATTTAAATAAGATGAAGTCCCATGTCCTGAGCAGCTATGCCCACTGATTGTACCAGGTTTGTGGTTGAGAGTCTTCCTGTTTTACTTGATGGAGGTCTGCACATAATCTTCATGTTTTCTATTTCCCTACACTTCTCACTTCCACTATATGACTCTCTTTCTTCAGTTGTCAACGTTGCCCCAGCTTACTACCAACAGATCCTTGCCCACATTTACAGTGGATTGCTGTTGCGGTGATGCCTGACTAACTTCTTCCCCTACAGACCCTGTGTCTTCACTCTCTGACTTTGTTATTGTTGTGTTTCTCTCGGGGTTTCAGACAACACCCGAATTCACCTTCCAGGTTTCTATACTTCATGTCTACTCAAACTGGGACATCATAAGAACCATGAGTTTTCTTGCATTTTTTTTAAAAAATGTGCCTAGAAGAAAAAATCAGATACATGTGGAGACTATATGACAGAATGATTTCCTAGAACGCTTTAATCCCTTGAATTTATTTAAGAAATTTATGAGTTTAGGGATACAGTATTGGATAATGCTATTTGCTTTGGTATCTTTACACTTGTTTAGATCTTATATTGTGTGTGAGTAGTGTAGCAGCTAGTCTAGTGTGTGGGGGTGAATACACGACACAGTACTTAAGTGGAGGTCAGAGGACTTCTGTTCATTGGTCTCAGTTTGTCAGAGAACGAAATGCCTATATACATTGAACCATGTTAGTGATCCACACAAGCTTGATGGTTTTCTTGGATCATCAAGCTACCAGCATCAGTCCTCAGAATATTGTGCTCATGAATACTAACTTCATGTAAGAATAATGCCTTCCCCACCATTATTGTTTAATATTCATTGAGAAAATCCTGATGCCAAACCTGTCTCCCATTTTGTATCTTCTCCCCTACAAACACTGAAACCCCTCTCATATCCTTGTGCCTCTCAGGAGACTCCAGACAGTAGGTCAGGCAGTCCTTTCCTCACACAGACTATCAACTCCTGATCCTGTTATCTGTGATTAGAAGGCATTGAGATGTGGTGCACCTTTGGAAGAGAAGGACAGAGGGGGCCTCCATTGTCTTAGTATGTTGAGCTGACATCCCTTTGAGGTACTTCTGCTCCAGTACATCTCCAAAGCTCTGCTAGCCTTGCCCCTTGTGAAATGAATCTCTTCCCAGGAGGAACCTCTCAGAATCCCATGGGCTGAGGATGGGTCTATGTTCAAAACAGTGCTCTGCCACTCCAGTGTGAATACTGCCCTGTGTGCCTTTCCCACTGTCTGTTTGTTTCTGTACCCTAGAACACAGAGTGAAATTCAAGGGTAATGTCATGAGATAATAGCAGCTGACCCTGGAACTACAATCTGCTGTGCCCTGGCCAAGGTTTGTCAAAATCAAAATGAGAAAAATCTGCACAATTGTGTGACAAAGAAATACAGGTTGGCACCCAGTCTGCCCTATGATTTCATTGCTCTGGAAACATGGAATTTGCTCCCAGCAGGAAGGTGAAAAACTGCCTTTGAGGCTCCAAAGGGATCAGGTGAGTGATGTGTGGATAAAAGAACAAATCTATTCTCCCTGGAGTCACCATCAGACTGGGTTCTGACCGAGATCAAAGGCCCAGAATGTGTCAGGAATCTCACATCTTGGGTGTGTGAGAGGAGGTGACCCGATTCCTGGAAAAAGATTCTGAGCTCCTTCATCTGATCCAGAATTTTCAAGACCATGCTCCCACTTCCTCTATTTGCTAAGCTGTGTAATGGATCTGCCTATGTGCTCAGGGGTCTTTCTGAGATACCTTGAACATCTACCTAGTTGATTCCCCTTGAATATTTTGCATTTCCCAAAGGAAACACATAAAATGGAAAACAGAACATGGTCTCCTGGCAGTGTGGCAGAAACATTAAGCATTCGGTAGGTTTAAGAATGCTGTGACGATGATTTCCACATCTGAAAAACAGGGGTGAACCCAGGCACCAGGGTAAGAGCCTGATTCAGGTAAATACTTTTCTACCAGTCCATTGTGTGTCCTGATTAGGGAGAACTTCAGCTCATGTGGGAAGCTGTCATATCAGCATAGCCTGTAGTCATTTGCTTGTAGGAGACAATTCCCTGAGCTGGACCCAGAGGACAAGCCCTAGTCAGACAAAATCCTCTCACTGGGGACCATAAACTTTATGTGAAATTTCTTATACCCAACAGGAGAGTTAGATAATGGCCTGGACATCTGTTGATCTATGCTGCCTGCTGACTCTGAAGAAGATGGCCAAGGGATGTATCCCAGTCAAGGCTCTCACAAGAGTGCAGTGCCTAGTTCTACACATTGCAAAACTTTGACTAGTAGGGAACACTGTTCCCTGCCATCAGGGAGTCAAAATTCAACGCTTATAAAATGTCTCTCATGAATGCGTGGAGTTGAGTCTGGGACAGAGGTCTGAAAACAGAGCACACTAGTGCTCACATCTCTGTGAGGAACCCATGCTTTCCTCAACCAAGTACAATATTGATTCCGTCAGGACCTTTCTCAAGGAAACATTCCTTGTAAGAGCCCCTAGAATCTAGAGAGGTTGATAACCTTGGCTGTTTTACCCACCTTGCATCTACATGTGTACAAGGTGAAATCAAATGAAGCATTCTGTTCTACACCATTTGTGTCCTGAACTAAATGCTCAAACCCTGACATGGGAACACAATTCATAAGGATAGTAAGCACAGACCGCTCTGCTCTCTGTGTTCAGTGAAATGAACCTCACCCAGTTCACAGAGGTAACAATGAATCACTTACCATTCACTTGGAGGTACATGGTTGTTGTTGATATGATTTTTTTACGTCTGTTATAGGTTCGTAGGATATAGAATCCTGTGTCCTTGAGGGTGACATTTTCTATCATCAGGGATCCATTGTGATATATTGTCTCTCGACCACTGTACAGAGGACCTGGCCTACTTAAATTGTAGGGCAGTGCATATGCTGCAATTTCTTCTGTCATATTTCTTAGAGCTTTGAACCAGACTAAGGATTTAGTTTTAACTGGCAGATCATGCACAAGGAAAAGGACGTTTTCTCCTTCCACCACTCGGGTTGTCACTGAGTCAGTAGTTATATGGACAGTGGTGGACAGGTGCCAGGAGGTTAAAAGGGAGACTAAAAGAAAATTGAGAAAAGTTAATATTAGACTGGTGTGAGCATCACTCAGCATTGGTGTGTGAGTAGGGCTGTGCCCACCCTCCTTTGAGGACAAGAGCAACATGAGTGCCACCAACTCAGAGTGTCTGAGTGTGACAGTAACTCTCTTTGGAACTCTCTACTCGGTGTCTTCCTGGGTTTCCCTCTGTGTCCCATATCCCTCATATCCCTCCTCACAGAGAGGATTTGGTGCAGAGTGCATTGCCTCTCAGAACTTCTCCTCTGGAGTCTTCAGATTCTGATATTTTTGTCTCTTTCATGTGTAGCCTTGACTGTCCTAAAAATTACTCTGTAAGCAGGCTGGCCTTCAACCACCAAAGATTACCTACTCTGCCTCCGAAGTGCTGTCTATATTAAAACGCTAAGCCACAGCTGCCTGGCAGATCCAGGAATTTTTAAGGACAGGATTTGTCTAAACTTTCTGGAAGGTTCAGTTCCTAGAAAAGACTCAGACCCAGGTAAATAAAGGAAAAAGAGAAGGATGAAAAGAGAAGTGTGCCTTTCTATGGGTTTATCTTCATAGTTTCTAGATTTAGAGTTTTGACAATAAATGTATTCAAGTGTGAAATAAATGACTTTAGATTTATTTATGTAAATATATGTGTGTTTTGTGAAGGCTGCTGTCTCCTTGTGCATATATGAAAAGGTTTGCCACAAATCTGTGTCAGGCACATGTGCCAGAGTGGGCATGTGTGGATACATGAAGCACTAAGGAGGAGGCCAGAGTAGAGCAAAAAGAAGTCTGTTCTCTGCACCTATAGTCTGTCAGCTGAGGATGGGTTTCAGGTTGTCATATCTTCACACACTGAGACAGCTTGCTAACCATCCCCTGTTTGATTTCTATATTCTCTTCAAGTCATACTTTCATGGTTGGGAACAGTTATCTTTAGAACATTCAATCAATGAAATTCACAGTGAATATGGAGTCCTCTAGGATTTTTCTCTTAATATTACCACATCCTTTTCCCTGAGAGTTTCAAGCTTCTGAACCTCTGTCCTTCATTTTACCTTCAGTACCAAAACTGCAAAAAAAAAAAAAACCCTTTGTTTCTCTGTCAAAATCCTGTCCTCTTTCGGAGACTCCATCCTGCCTCTGAGGGCCCCTCCCCACACACCCAGGGAGTGGGTACTCTTACCTGTGAGCAGAAGGCCCTTCCAGGGGGCACACCCCTTGCAGAAAAGCACTGAGAACTCCTCCATCAAACTTCTTACTTGCTGTCTTCCCTCTAAGAAGAACAACATCATCTGCAACGTAGAACACAGGCTCTGCTGTTCTTCCTCCTTCTGGGCCGAGATTCTTCTCAGACAGAAGCACTTCTCAGAATCCAATGAGCTGTGAGTGGTGGGGTTTGAGTTCAAGGCACTGCTCAATCCCTTCCACTCTCAGTGCTAACCTGCAGCATCCCTCTCAACTTCCCTTTATGCTTCTCTGCCAAACAACTCATTGAGCAACAATGCTGATAAATATCCACATGCCCTCAGAGAACAATGGCTCATTCTAGGGCTGACACTTCTTGTGTCCTTGCCTTTGGTCTGTCAGCACCAAACAGGGAGCCTCTATCACATCTATGTGTTCTTTATGACACAGAGACCAACCTGAGCACCCAATCCACCCTGTATTCTCAATGCTCTGGAAATGAAATATTTTCTTAATCTCTGCAGGAATGTGACAGAAATATCTCTGAGAACTGAAAAGAGATCAGCTGAGTGATGATCAATCTTAACACTGATGTCACCAGTCAAATTAGTGATCCAGGAGAGAAGTCCAGTAGCAGCTGTGTGATGAGTTTCATGTGGTCAGTGTTGGAAAGTGATTACTTGTGCGTTCACAAAGGGACTGTGAGCTTCATCTTCCTATGGAGGGTTTCAAGACTACACTCTAACATTATGTGTTGGGTGTGCACAGGTCCTCTCTGATATTCCTGAGTCACCTTTGCCCTTTCCTACATGATTCCCAGGTGCTAATATTGCCTTCCTCTTTGAGAGATGACAGAATAGGGGATAACTTCATGGTCCCCAAGTAGAGAGGTGTTTTCAGACAAAGAAAGGGAGGTCAGAGAAGAGTCTGGGAGGCTACTCAAGATTGGTAGGGAATGATATGGAAAGCAGTATGTTCAGAGAAACAATTTTCAGAGCATTGGGCATATGCCAATCTATCGACCCCTGGAGAACACTAGAAGAACTGCAATACCGTGACTAGGTCTATAGCAGGCATGATCAAGAAACCAAATATGAAATACCCTGATACTTTCAGCATAGGTGGGATTCAAGGCCTGTCATCCTGATCACTGTGCTCTTCAGGACTCCTAATTCTTTCCACTGTATTATGGATCTAGACAGGGTTCCAGATATCTGCTATGAAATCCTGGACTAAAGTTTGAAGTAGTATGAATCCCGAGGTACTGTACAAATTCCTTCAGCCAGTAGCCTTTAAGATACCAGCCCACTTGTGCATGGTCTCTTATACAATTAATTCCTATGTAAAGCACATGCTTGTTCACTCTCCCAGCTTCTGGATTCAGTTCTTGTTCCCCGTTTGTGCAGAGGGCTGTGATCTGTGAGTCTACCCCTAAATAAATTCTCTTTATTATATGCAATTCTGAGCTAGTGTGGAATTGCATTGTAACTTCCATCATCATCTGTCACCCATGTGAATCCCAAATCTATACCTATGGGGATAGCCCAGAAAATATCCAAAAGGTCTAAAACTCAGAAGGTCTCCCACCTCTGCCTGCCTGGCTTGATTTCACCTACTAAATGGCTTTTTGCAAAACCCCGCCACTGACACAGCAGAGCTACTTGACAATTTACCAGGATTGTGCACACTTCCCCCACCTGCCACTTTCCCTGCTGTGTAGCAACTTGTGCAACTTCCGGTTTGTGTTCCCTGCTTGTGAGCTCTAGGTACCTTGTTCCATGTACAGAATTTATTTAATTGCTCTAAATTTGCCAAGCAAAGTATATTTGTCAGTATTTAATCAGGTACCAATGCACAAAACCAAAGTGACTTAAACAGTCCCATGCCACTAGTCTTGTCTCCCTGACACGTGGCTGCAACTACAACATTTGCTGGAAAATAAAGATTATTACACCTACAACAATTTATTGAAATCTAACAACAGCAAGTAAATTAATAAATATGAAAGTTATACAATGGTAAACAATATTACCATTCAGAAATTTAATAACCTTGTTATTAAATTATGCAAGGCTTATGTGATTTTCCTTTCAAATCCATTTATTTGATTTTGGAAATTAGTTTTGTTTTTCATATTATATCATTTAGAAAATAGTTTGATATCAGAGCCAAGAATGAGGCACTTTTAGAAATGATACAATCTTTACAGAATAATAATGAACAGCTAGTTGAAAAAGTTAATAATTTTGAAGAGGTTAACATTAATTTGACAGACAAAATTCAACCAATGTGGAAGGGTTCTGAGACATTATCTGAAAGAATTTGTGCAGTTGAATTTAACAATTGGAATCTGTTGAAAAGTTATGATAGGTTAACAGATAAGGTAGCTCTCCAGAAAGTCAATAAGCAAATGATCAAAATTATGTCAAATGATGAGATGTTATCATTACTGGACAAATTTCATATCTTGGAATCATCAATGAGGGCAATACAATTGAACACTGGACAGGAGATTTAGAGTTTATAAAAGGCAGTGGTAAAGAGATTTGAAAAGACTGAGGAAGTTAACTAATCTGATGAGCTTGGAAAAAAAAGTACAGGATTAAGTTGCATCCGTATGTGCCAGAGTCTGGAATGACCTACTTAGAGTTTTAACTGCCTATTCAGTGATGTCCTCTGAGAAGTCATCTGGCACAAAATATCCTAAGGTAGTCAAAGAATATACATGGAAACCTATATAGGTATGACTGACCCAAAAAAAAAAAAAACTTAAGCAAGCAATGGTGTCTCATGGCCTGCATTCACTATTTGCCAGGGAAATGGTGAAAATATAGGCTTCAGGCAATAATGTAATCCCACTGGCTTCAATTAATTTCAGTGGTCCTAGAAAATGGACCCCAGCTGCTAAGGAAATGCTGTTGGCAAGAAGAGGCAAAAATTTTAGAACAACAGGAAAAAGCAAAAGGATTTGAGGCTTCTCAATATCAAATTCTTAGCAAGGGCTAAGGGCTAAGGGCTCCTCAGTATCAGGATCAATATGATGAACACACCTTGTCCTTTTGTAGCACAGCAACTTTAAATGCTTGGAACAGGATTCAAGAAATAGGAAACAGGCCAAGGCCGGTTCAGGCACCCTCTCCTCTGTCCAGAGAACAATCTGGGGATCTCTCCTTGGACCTGGGATCCCATTTAAAATCAAGTCTCTTGTAAACCCTAAAGTGACTCCCTTAGTTGAGATGTATTCTTCCCTGATCCCATATCCATCCTTCCTCCCTCCCCCCATCTCAGTCCCCCAAGTTTTCCCCATTCCTCCCCTACTCCCTTCTCTCTAACCCTCTCCCCTTCCAACAACCCTCCCAACCCTCCCCCCATGCACCCGTGGTTACCTGGGACTCTTGTCTATTTCCAATCTCCAGGAGGATAAGTACATGATTTTCTTCAGGTTCACCTTCTTATTTAGCTTCTCTAGGATGGGGGGAGGAACTTGAACTTCCCACAGGGCAGGAAACCCTGACTGCTCTTAGGGATGGAGAGGGAGGAGGAGAGGGAGTGGGGGGAGTGGGAGGGTGTTGGGAGGAGGGGCAGAAATGGAAACTTTTATAATTTAATAAAATAAAAAAAAGAAATAGGAAACAGAATTGAATCATATATCAGGGCCAGAGAGAACACTTTAGTGACCTTTTTCAAAGATTAACTAAGGCTGTATAAGTAGGAGTAACAGACCCAGAATCAAGATGTACTTATTGAACCACTGGCTTTTGAAAATGCCAACTTTAAATACAAGAAGATACTTGGACCTTTAAAGGTTAGATCAGTACCAATGGATGAATGAATCCTAAATACAATGAACATTGAGACATTGGAATATAATATTAAGACTTGGGTAGGACAAACAATTTTCAAAGGTATGAAGAGACTGCAAAATTACAAATGTTTTCATTGTGGTTGAATAGGATATCTGAAAAGGAATTGTAGACAAGGAATTCCTAGAAAAAATGTGTTATCTGGGAATGACAATAACAGGTGGTATCAATCTTCTGGAATATGTAGAAGGTATGGCAAACGCCAACATTGGACCAATGACTGTAGGCCAACAAAAGACAACAAGTAAACCTGAGATTATCAGGAAAATCCTTGGGAGACCTCTTGCAGGCCCCCATGTCAAACGTGGTCCAGTCATTCCCAGTCACTGTGGACAACATGTCTCACCAGGAAAATTAAAACTTCAGTGCCTACTATAAAAAACTATACTGTTCTGGATGATGGAATATACATGGAGGGTAAATCAAAAACTTCAGTAGAAAATAGGAAATATGTATTTTGGCAGACTTCTATAAATGATCAAAGACCAAAGCTAAGTGTTTGTATAAATAATATTATAATTGAGGGATTACTAGACACAGGTGAGGATATGAGCATCATTACTCCAGAATTGTAGCATCCAAATTGGCCTCATCAAAAGGCAGAAGCTCAATTCCAAGGAATAAGAACCCTACTCAAGTGCAACAAAGCAAAAGAACAAGGAAAGATATATTTTGACTCAGGGAGCCAGTATGGGACTAGCAAAAAAATCTGACACTAGATAAATTTTCAGTAATCTACAAAGATGATACCAGCAATAGAGACCCTAAGCAATAGAGGAAAAGGTGTCCATACTGACTTTGCCTTGTAGTCATATGGATGAGTATCTTAAATGTCACCATAGAACCTTCATCCAGCATCTGATGGTAACAGAGGCAGGGACCTGCAATGAAGCACTCAGCAGAGTTCCCAAAGTTCTGTTGAAGAGTGAAAGAAGTGAGAATATGGGCAAAGAGGTTAAGACCATGATGGGGAAATCTACTGAAAGAGTTTACCTGAGCTAGTGGGAATTCACCAACTCCAGCCAGACAGGGAAGGAAACAGCATAGGACCAAACTAGACTCTCTGAATATGGGTGACAGTTGTATGATTGGGACAGACTGTGGGGCTACACACAGTGGCAACAGGATTTATCCCTACTGCTTGTACTGACTTTTTGGGAACTTATTATCTTTGGACGAATACCTTGTTTAGCCTAGATATAGTAGGAAGGGCCTTGGAACATGCCCCAAAGTAATGTGCACTCTCTTTGAGGAATGGATGGGGGCTTTTTTAAGGGGCTAGGTGGAAGGAATGGG